CTGCCCCCTCAGCTGCCTCACCTCTGCCCCCTCAGCTGCCTCACGCCCGCGCCCTCAGCCACCTCTCAGCCTCTCCTGAGTAACAAATACCCAGAGCATCGACTCAGTCCAGCCTCTGCCCTCCACATCCCTGCCCACACCCACACAGTGGGCAGCTGCCTCCTCCTGGGCCTTGTACTACCAAGAGAATGCCATGGGTTACTCAGTTTGTTGGAAAGCTTATAGAAAAAGCTCCCACCGTTATTGTAAGCATGTGGCAAGGGACAGAGTAGAGCTTACAACCTGCATTGCTCACAAGTGAGGCCAAAGGAAATGGCCTGTGATATTACCATAACCCTAAGAGAATCTTCCTTGTGAATGTCCTGCACTTTAGAAGCAGATTTATTCCACCCTGCTTTAAAAATAAGAAAGATGCCAAAGCAGTAGGCAGGGAAATCTCCAGGTCTATTATCACAGAGCATGTTGCCATAGCATTAAGGCAAGCTCTTCCCAGAGATGTGGGGGGTTTAATCTCAAATCTCTGTATTTTCACATCTGAGGTATCATATATTCAACAGATACTTCAGACATTACAGTCATGGGAGTATATCAGGTATTTATGGAAAGAGGCCTCAGGGACATCCACGGGCTCACACTGGAGCACAGAGCCCATCCTGGCCGGGCTACTCAGCCCCTGATCTACAGCCCCAGGAGCCACCCCAAGCTCAGCAGCACCAGGGAGCTGCCCAAACTGCACTTCCCATCTCTTCCAGGGAGCAAACCTGACACTGAGGCACTGAGTGAACTCTACTGGTGAGACCCAGGAAAAACCTCAGCTAGAGAGAAACACAACCAGGCATTTGGGAGAAGTGCAGAACGGGGTACTCACCTTCGACGATCTCTATTTCTTGATCCAGACCTAGAAAGGAGAGGAGAGTTAAGTGAGAAAAACTATGATAGAGCCAGTGGGTTTTCAGGAGGAAAATTCATCCATCCTGGCAGCTCTTCACAGGAATAATCAACACCTCAAGTGATATATTATTTAAAAAAAAAAAAAAAAAGCTTGCAAATAAAACATTTTGTTAGCTTCAATTTTAGGAACAAGAATTTGTCAAAAACAGGAAAACATTAATTTCTGCACACTGCGCTTCCTGTCACTACAGAAAAGTCTAGAAATCAGATACTATTAATAAAGCACCCCAATGAACCTTTCCAACTAATTTTCTGTGGATATTTGTTACTATTTACTCCCTGCAGTCTAACACCAGCTGGATCAACTCTGACGTTTTCGAGAAGTGCCACTCTCAATCAGAAAGACATCTGCCAGTTTTCTGATTTTGGTTCCTTTGAGGAAGTTGCATGCTAAAGGGATTTGAATAAAAAAACCAGTCTTTTCTCGCTCCTTGTATTTGTTTACCAAACATTAGAAGAAATTTGCAACAATTTGTTTTTCCTTTTTGGGAAAGATAACTAGGAAAAAAGAGGGGACACAGCCACAAGAGAAGAACTATTACTGACAAGTGACAGAGATAAACTGAAAATCCTTAGAAAGCACTTGAGAAGAATAATCCAGGCCTTGCTCTCCTTTCTCACATTCCACGAGCTTCAGAGCTCATGTGTGGCACTCTGAGCTTACTGCTGTCAGCATTAGCTCCTGACAGTTTGTAAATAACAACGGCAGAATTCTTTCAGCTTCAGCAGCACCATTACTCAGCACCACTTAAAATACCTCTGCACATGGAGGCTCCACCCTCCCTCTTCCTCTGTGGCCACATTTCAGAGCCAGATGAACATCACACGCTGTCTGAACAGTCTTGTTTTGCTTTAATTAAGAAGTGGCTCCTCTCCCTGTTTAGTGACTCAGAGTCTCACTCCTGCAACTGCTCCCCACTGCACAGACTCACACACAGGTTCAATTTACACCCCACAGAGCTGCTCTGGCACCCTGACATGAAAGCTACACACAGACAAGAATTTAAGAAGCAACAGAGAAGCATCTGTTTTAATAACATAATTTAAAACCATGCCTGGATAAGACAAGATTAAGAAAATCTATGTGCACTGACATTTCTTCAGTGAAATAGGATTGTTCAGTCATGGTACAAAGTTAAAAAAGCCCCCAAATTTAGAAGGGAATTCAGGTAAGGACTGTAAACAAAGTGGAGCTGAACTTGGAGTCTACACACATGACCAGCTGAAGGGGAAGCTGATAAAGTTGGAGAGCAAGGCAGTAACCACACACCTCCATTCCCAGTAACAACAGAACCTGACACAGCAGCAGGACCTCCTGGAGGCACCTGGCAGGCAGCTGGATTCTTCTGGTGGTTGTAATTACTCCAAGTTCTTACTGTTCTTTTTCCTCCTGATCACTTTATTGTGAACCACCAGTGCACACATCCACAAAAGCCCTTCCACATCCCCTGAAAAGCCTGGCTGCCTTTTCATGCAAGCAGGGATATGCACAAAAACATCTGATAATCACTCCCTAGAACCAAACTTCAGCATTCAGGAAGTATCCAAGGGAACAGCATTGTCCTTACTCGCCTGATCATTGTACAGCAGGACACAAAGAAGATTGGTGTCTATAAGAGCAAGAGGACTGAGCAAGTCTATTTTATTTATTTTTTCCTCTCTTTTTGTCCCTGTATCACAGAAACTTTCTGCTGAGTTTCATAACCTGTCTTTTGTCCAGCTTAACACAAAGGAAATCCATGTGGCACCTCCACCAATCTTGTTTGCTGGTGTTCTGTGGGAGCAAACACTGAGGTCTGCACTCCCAGCATGCCACTTCTGCACAGAATTCCAGCCTCAACAGATTACTGGGTACCCAACAGCCACCAGGAATATCACACAAGACTTGTGTTTATTACCACTAGGGTGGAATCCAGTTCACTCATTCCTATGTGCAATCACAGCTTACTGACAAATTAATTAATTAATTAATTGAGATGCAGAGTTTGACAAGGGAATGCACAGGTTTGCAGGGATGCCACAGTGCCTGTCAATAAAGACTCCTAAAGTCAAGCCATACTCTTCCTCTCACTGAAGTAACACCATGAAGGTGCTGTACAGGAGCTGACAAGAAGAGTTCTGAAGGAAACATTTTTCCTGCAGTTCCTTAAAGTACCAAGCTCTGGATAAGAGAGTCTGGCTGGAAGGTGGTAGACATCACCAATTAGTTTTTGATGGAAAAATGCCTCTGTGAGCATGGTGTGCACCCAGCAGGTAAGTGACCAAGAAATCTGGACTCCAACCTCAGCTCTGACACTGAGTGTCCACTGGGAGAGCCACTGTCCTCCCTCAGGTCAAGTTCTCATTGTGGAGAGGCAATTGAGTTGACCTCTTCCTTATGGCATTCCTGACTCCTTAACAAGCTTTCCTGTGGAGCACACAGGTGCCTCTGCACAGAGCCAGAGCAAAGGCCACAATCTCTGAGTACTGTCACATATGGAAACAGCAAGAACTCAGACTTTAGGCCAGCTCCATGCAGTTCTTAGAGCTTTCCTATTTTAAGCCTTATATAAACATTCCAAAGCAGCTTTCAAAGCCCCTCATCAGATGCATCCACATATGCACTACCTGTGAACTCTAGAGGCTCTTCAGCTCTCAAGAACTGAGGGCTTGAGGTTTTTTGTTCTAAAAACCACTAAAACAAAACCACAGCCACACCACAGGAGGAAGAAAACCAGCATTTTGAGAAGATGTGGATCAACAAAGAGATCCAGAGGGTTCTTCCTTAACAACTCTGTTGAGCAATTTTTACAGAGAAATGACCTCCAGGAAGAAGAGGCACCATGGAGACAAACTGAGTCCATTTTAGGCAGAGTCCTGCTGTGGGTCTGCCATGAAGCAGCTGCATGAGAAGACACTTCCCGTTTCACTTCCTCCCCTCTGACCACAGCAGCAGCAACAGCAGTCCCTTCTGATTAACTCCTGCACTGAAAAGCTACTGCCAGATCCTGCAGCTCCCAAACTCAACTGCATTACAGTTGCATGGGTAACAGAAAGTTGTGAGGCTGTCCATGAAGTGCTGCAGTTCCACAGAAAGCTGTAGCATGAACTGCTCCTTCAAAACACATCAGGAAATCCCCAGAGAAAATCCACATTAACACCCTAACTGGAGTTATGCATAACATGTATAAAATTATGTGGATAATGAGTAACAGTTTGGGGCTCCCATCTTTATAATAAACAAAAATGACCATGCTGGTATTTGTCAGCAATTCCAGCAGTGTATAGCCAGAGCCAGCATCATCTTAGAGTACACTGCAGTTATAAATCTCATATTCCTCAAAGTCACTCTTCAGCTGACTCTGAGTTTCAAAAATAGCTCTGCACAGGCAGCAAGGTTGGGGTCTTTTTGATGCAAGAAGTACACGAGGAGAAACACACAAGGTAAACAAGCAGGGAAATGCTGTGACAATCAGAACAGCATTCCTGCCCAGCCACCTCCTCTGCCTGAGCCCTGCAAATAACCACCCTCCCCACACCAGGCTGCTAGCTGAGCTGTTTACACACAAGTTGCCACTTCAGTTTAAGCACAGAAGAAATTGTTTGCCCAGTTCAGCTAGCAAGATGCAGAAGAGCTTGTCCTGAGAAAACCAATCAGAAAACCAGCCCCTCCCACTGCTCAGGAATTACAGACATCTGAGCAGAAGGTGACACATAGCTACAAGCACCAGAAGCAGCCACTCCTTGGGATCCCTCAGCTTCCTTAGGAAATGCTTGCCAGAACACCTCACTGATTGTAGCAAAGTTACATGCAGTCCATTACTGGCACATGGACACCAGCCTGTTGTCACCTCCAAGTCTCCAAGCAGTGAGGAGGGCTGTCCAGGGAATTCCTGCCCTTTGAGCAAGCCTAGTCCTCGCTCATCTTCAACTTTCCCACTCAGGTGCTCTGGATGAGGGTATTTTATCCAGATTCCCTAAGACAGGGATTAGGCCAATATAAGCCTCAGGACTACAAGGAACTCCCACCTTTCAGACACATAGTGGAGATCAAAATACATGTACAGTCACTCTAAGATGGAGGAGTGGAGGATTTGTGCATTGTTTTAATCTTTAACTGAATCCCAAGATGCTCACACAGCATCTGGAGCACATCCAACAGCCACTCCAGAAGCAGATGCTGAACTCCTGCAGTGCTCATGTACAAGGAATCAGACATTTCTAAACTTTACAGGCCAGGTCCCAGGTCCCACTCACCGTCTGCCCATCCTCTCCTCTCGTTCTCTCTCCTCTCTCCGTCTCAAACGATCCTGGTTTCTCTTCTCTTGCTTTTCTGCCACTGTTTTCTAGGGGGAAAAAACAAACCCACATCATATTTCAGCCATGCAGTAACAGCCATTATTTACAGCCACACAGTAACAGGTCAGATCTGCAGGAAGACCATTCCAGTAGCAAGACAAAGAACCATTGCACTGCATTTTATGTGCTGAGTTAAGACCTCTGTCAAGGTACTCATTTTTCTCAGTTGAGGCACTGACCTCAATGGACTGTGAGTGAGGCACAGGAATCACAACCCTGACTCAGCTAAAGGTCTCTGTTTGCAAGCAAAGCCAGTACCACAACCCATTATGAATAATTTCAGAAAACTCCTAATGGCTTCAGCTAGTCAAGATCTGTTCACTGACAGAACCATGTGAAACTTCAGTTCAAACATTTCATTAAGAAGTTTTAAAGTCAAAAAAATACCCAGAGTAACAAATTTCTGTCATGTTAATAAGAATTACTGTACCAAAACTCAAAGGAATAAATTATAGCAGTGCTGTGGTTTGACTGATTCTGAGGGTACATATTTAGTTACCCAAAAAAGAGAGAACAGAACCCAAGATAAGGCTAAACAAAGCTCTGTTTGATGCTTTAGGAATTCTGCAGTTGGAAATTTCTGAGCTTTTACAAGCCCTCTGCAAAGAATTCTGTATTAATTTAATAGAAGTGTTCAAGGTCTTCAGAACTACAAAGGGGTGGTTTAAAACAGAGAGGATTACCCTCAGCTGATCCAGTTTCTCACGAATCTGAATGAAACCCAAGTGTAATTTGCCTCCAAAGTGGTCAGCAAGACGCCGGTCGTTGTCATGGAGACCCAGATATGCTGAACAGACTTCACACACACGCAGCTTCTGCTGCTGGAAACTGGATGCAGGCATTGAATTTCGGTATTCTTCCTACAGGGAGGCAAGAAAACCCACACAAATGTCAGGGAGACACAACCCTCCAGGGAAACCCCTGCAAAGAATTGCTTTGAAGAATCAAAACCCACCCTCACACAAAGGAGGTGCCACACAAACGTTTTGTGGGCACAGCTAACCCAAAATCTATCCCTGCAAGGGATTGGTGACCAAATATTTCAGAGCATGAAACCCTCCCTGCACTAGATAAAAGTTTCTAAAAATCATTTCATCCACCACACCACACTGGCCACCTGTTTGCTGGCACATGGCTGGAACTGAAAAGGAGGTGTGAGGCAGAAAGCACCACCCAGCCAACCCACAGGAGAGCCAGCACTGTACCTCTGCCTCTTTCTTTTTTGCCCGGACTTTCTCCACTTCCATCAGGATCTTCTGAGACTCATCAACATTTCCTTCAGCTCCCAGCTGCTCTGCTTTAGCTAGGAGTTTTCCAATATCTTCATTCAGCTCATGGACTTTCTCTGCCTGAAAAAAATAGTTAGTTTTTAGTAAGATAAAAATGTGATAAAGCTTGCAGGAGAACTTTTCATTTTTTTAAAAGAAATACTGTGTTGAAGAAAAGAAATCTGTTGTTGGAAGATGACCATGAATCTCCAAAAGTTTTCAACAAAAGGGACTGGTGGACCAATGTCAACAGAGTCACAGACATGTGGCAAAAAGAGAAACTGGATGTGGAGAGGTCATGATCTGCCAGTCATTTCTGGCTTACAGGTGAGCATAGAGGCCACAAAATCAGCTTCAGAAATGTCTTGTATTGGCCCAATTAGGTGAGTTTCCAAAAGGGAAACTCCATGAGCATTTGTTAAATGAAACAAAAATCAGGGGATGATGGACTTACTAAATTATTATGGTAACATTTCACAGCACGGGGAAGAAATCAATATGCTTTATTTCCATTCTAAAGCAATCTCTTTGAGAGTCCATGGTGCTCTTTGCCTCCAGAATGGCCAGAGCAGCCATTTGGGGAGGATGACTGGAATCCCCAAATCCTCTGTGGAGCCTTACTCCCCACTATCACTGGTGTCAGAGAGAGCCCCAGTGCTCCCAGTGAGACTTTCAGAAGCAATGCCCAGTGAGAGGCAATACCTTTGCAGACACTTCAGCACTGATCTCCTCCTGTGTCTCAGCCAGGCGTTTCTTGGCCAGTTCTGTTCTCCTGTCACACTCTGCAATGAAGGATTCCAGGTGATCCATGGCCTGCATGATCAGACAAAGAATTATGAATGAAGCTGCTCTCTGTGCCAGATGTAGCTTTGACAGCCAACAGCTGCAATCCTGTATAATGCACAAACAACCTCAAGAACTGATGCTTTGAGAAAAAACCAAATGACATTTTGCAGAACAAGTTACATTTGACCCCTGCCCTGTAAACCTGACCCAGTTCCTTTATTCTGACACATCAACATTGCTTTGCACTGGAACTTCCTTCCTATGCAGGAGCAACAGGCACAAAGACAAAAGCACTGGAATAACATGAAAGGGAAAGACAGAATTGTGCTTCCCCTTGATCTGTTCCACCACAGAAAGGTGAAATGAAAGCTAAATCTGACAAAAGTTAAACTACTGAACAGAAGGTTTTTAATGTTAAATCTCTTTGTGGGACAGGGCAGCAGGTTACAAGAACCTGGCACAGAGCAGCAGCTGTGGGATCCAAGGAATGCCAGGAGCCTCCCAGCTCCCTGGGCTAATGGGGTGGCAAAGGCCATAATTAATTCTGCATTCTCCAGTCAGCAGCCAGGCTGACATTCAGGAAGGGGCTGCACATTCTGGACAGCATGATGAGCTGAAATGGCCACTGAGTTCTACTGTTCAGCCCAGTAAATTCAAGAAGCAGTTTCCCCAAAAGTAACTAAAATTTCTTCATACTTACATCCAGCTCAAAAAACAGGTCTCTCTCTTTACTTGCAATCTCATAATCTGCTCTCAGAGCCAAGTCATGGATCTTTGTACATTCTCCCAGGTCCATTCTCTGTTAGAAGAAAAAGGAGAACCCACATAAGAACCCTCCAAGCAGCAGATGTCTCTTGCCAACTGCATCATATCAAAATAAAGTATTTTCAGAAAAGCAGCTTTCTCTTAACCTCTCAGTACCAGAACCACAAGAACCACATGCTTGCCAGAACTTGTTCTGTGATCCTGGAGCCACAGCCCAGGAAAACACACTGCAGCCTGTTTAAAGCTCCTCTGGAAATGCACATCTGTGTCAGGATGAGCCCAAGGAACATATGGCACAACAAATTGTGGGACACACACAGAATGCTCCCTACCAACAACAAAAGGACTTAAAAGGATTAAGGGCTACAGCCAGCAGCAATGCACAAGCCCACACTCAGCAACAACAGACAGTGTTAATTCCACAGCCAGACCCTTCCCACATCCAGCTGCAGCCTGGAATTTGAAAACCTGCCCAGCAAAGCAAAGTCCAGCATATAAGCCCATTTAATGAGAGATTTAAGAGCATCTCCCTTCCCAGAAAGCTGCCCTTCCCTCCCACTGCACTCCACTATTTGAATTTGTTATTGTTTCTCCCACCTAGCAGTTAGTAGCCACATGAACCCAAGTCAATTATGCTCAAGACAGGGAAGCTGCATTTCAACATTATCAATTTGTAACAAAGAACCTTCCCCTTACTCCTAAAGTAGAAAATGACATTTTGAAAGCCAAAATAATAAAAGCCCTAATTGTGAGCCACTGTAGGAATGGCAGGTACATGTCATTGCATGAAGGAACATCCCAAATCCCCACCCTCTTCTCTCACTGTCACCACCAGTCCCCAGGAGCCCAAACCTCAACATGCACAACAGGGGTCAGCTCAGTGAACTGCAGAGAAAGCTGAGCTGGGATAACTCTGAATCCCTGTGGAATATCACAAACTAAAGCTGGGGATGCTCACATGAAACAGTACACTCAGAGAGCAGTGTTTAGAATGAAGCAAAGCAACTAAAGCAAACTCTATCAGTTTATGCTCAGGTTTTCAGCAGGTGCCTATTACTGGCACCTAAATTTTTATTCTTCTAAAAAAAGAAAAAAAAAATCCAGATGACTTGCTGCTATTCAGCCTTCCTCACTTTGCTCAGATTTACCAGAACCAGGAGGCCACAGAGGCTACAGGCCACAGAAACAGACACTGCATCCAGAATACTCCTGCTGAGCTCTCTAATGATAGAAATGTAATGCCTGCAAAAAAAGCACTTTGGTACTTTTAAAGCCTGATCATTCTCAACTTCAGGCAAGCCACTTCAAAGAATGCTAGAGAGTTCCTGTTATTTTACCACAAAAATAACTTTCTATGATGTGACACATCTTTCATTCTTCTGGTCATGCTACTGAGATCACTTTCCAAGATAGGGAGAAAATAATGGTATTGGATGTGATTGTCACACATTACAAATATTCTTATCTGAGCCAATAACCCCACTTCAGAGAAGGGGCTCTCACCACTTTAGAGCAGCCAACGCTTGTTCTGAAGCTCCCAATTCCTCTCCCTGCTTGTTAACAAATCCCTAAACTTTCCTCAGGGAAGAACATTCAGTTCTCACTAGTTTATAAACCTCAAATCTTCCTCCACACCCTCTGAGATGTTCAAGTGCAAGGAGACTTCTACAGGTGTTGCTCACTCAGGGCAGGACCATCAGCCCTCTGCCTCAAAGCCTCCCCTCATGCCAAGGAGGGCTCACAGAACACTCACCCTTTCCACAGAGCCCACAACCTGCTCCACTCAACACTGGGGGGTTTAAAACACAGCTATGTGAGACAGGCAGAGCCTGAGCAAAGATTGAACTCCACATACACACAAAGACTGAAGACATTTAGATGTCACTGATAATTAGTCCTGCTCACATTTGCTGAGAAATTCACATTCTGAGGGATCTCTGATGATTTCCACTGAACTGGCAACTCACCACAAAATGAAATTTCCACAAAGATGCTTTAACAGGGATCAGAGATGCAGAGTTTCATCCAAGTGAAAAAGGAAAGCACCGACCCCTCCCCTCTCAACCCACAAAAACATTTCTAGAACCTACAGATTTCAACTCATATTCTCCAGCAGGGTACACAATTAATTCCCTGGATGTCATTTCCAGGGTATGTTCAGTCTGGGCAGCTTTGAGGCTCATCTGTCCACCTCTTAGTGGAGCTGAAATTCAGGAGAATTGCCAGCTGATGCCATCTCTCAATGTGCTACAACACTTTCACTGACAGAAATACACTCACCATGAGCTGCATGGAGAACTCAGCACTCACCACAAAGGATGTGGATGCAAAGGTAACAGCCCATGGGCCCACTAAACCAACTTCTGCTCTCCCAGAATGTTCCTCCTTACCCACAGAGACCAAAGAGAACCACTGTAGGTTATTTAGTGGCAAGTTTAGACAAATTTCTGAGGCCAAAAAAAAATAATCACAGGAACAAACCAAGTTAAAATAACAACTCTTACAATCAGTGACATTCATACACCTAAACAAAGCAAACATCAACAGGCCTCCTGCAGCCCTCAGGAATATTCCAGAGCTTTGTTAACAGTCTGGACTCCTTTTCTTACTCTGCACCTGAAGGTCAGTGAGTAGGAGTCCATCACATTTCACTGAGCACAGCTCCCCAAGGGATCAGCTTCCTGCTGCCTTCAATCAGTTCCCACTAAGGAATATCTGCACACATCGAGGATGCAGCAGCAACAATGCCTTAGGGGAGGGCACAACACAGCAAGCACAGAAGGCCAAGAGCATCTGTTGGAAGTTTCCAAAAGGTCCTGATTTCTGCAGTAACACACCCAGAGATGGGTTACACCCCACCCAGCTGAGACAGATTCACCCATACAGCTCTTCCCTAGCAGAGCACTGGGGAGTGCCATTGAAGCTGCCTGGGATCACGAGGGAGCTGCACATTCCAGCTCAGTTTCACTCTGTACTGGCAGCAGGGACAGCTGAAATGCTCTTCCTGTTCTGGACATCACATGTTCTTTCAACACAGATCTGCAGCACCAACACTTGCTGGGAACCTGCTGGGAGAGGGGCAGAGCTCCACACCCACCTCAGGGCCACCACACCACCCTGAGTGAGCCACAAGATCCCTTGGGCAGGAGCAGCCTTTCTTCCTGCTCCTGCAGCTTCTGAGCAAAATCCCCACAGTGAGAGGGAAAGGACAACTCAATCAGGACAAGTGACAACAAAAGCAGAAGAAACCAATTCCTCAAGGTGCTTCTCTGTCCCAGGAGACTCAGAACCCACCTGAAACACTTCAGACTTCCTGCATGCTTTGGCACCAGCTCACACACATCACTTATGCTGAACCAGCCCTTCAACTCCCCATTTACCCTCTTTCTGAAAACCTGCCAGAAGAGGTAGAAGGCAGCCTTCATCTTCAAAACACCCTTTGGGCCCAAAAAACTGTGTCAAAAAACACACCCTGACCACAGTGACCTCTACAAAGGATGGAAGTTTAAAATTCTCAAATGGAGGTGAAGTAACACAGAGGCTGATGGAACAATCACTGCAAAACACATCTGAGCTTCAAATGAATTCTAAAAAACAGAGCTACAGAGATTGGTATTCAGCTTTTCCAGTCTTATTCTGCAAAGGAGCTACTGAGAAGCTAAAGTCTGAGTGCTCAGAGCAGAGGCAGCTTTTGGTAGAGCTCCTACCAGTGCTGCCACACTGCTGCTATGGTGGTGACACCAGAGGGGCAGCAGCACCAGCCCTCCCTTTGCTGGGGACCCACTGTGCCCAGCCAGCTCCCCAGGGAGCAGCAGGAAGGGCTGTAAACAACCACAGCACCTTCCAACAATCTGGTTTAAATGGACAGACACTGAATTGCCACAGCATTTCATGCAAACAGCAAGGGCAAAGATGGATTTCAAACATCCATATTCACCTCCATCCTGTGCCTGCTGCACAGTGATGGTGACAAAAGACACAGTTTTCTTTCCAAAGTCAGGCTGCAGCTTTCATCTGGGAGCCTCAAATGAACACTTCCTTCACAAGAGCTCACTGCTAAAAGCCCACATCACCTTCTGCTCTCAGAGGTAGCTCATGAGCCAAACCTTTGAACACTGGCCAGCCCTGCTCCCAGAGGGAACAGCAAAGGAGCTGAGGGAACTGTTTGAAAGCAGTGGGGCAGAGTGACACAAATCCCAAAGCAGCTCAAACAACCAACACTGAGCCACAGATGTGACCTGCCACCACCATCACAGTAACAATAGAAAAGCTGCTCTTCCATCAGGGCTGGGGAGAGGAGACTGACAATCTCCAAGGATTTGTGCAGGAAACCCTTGCTAACCTGAAGATGCAGCAGTGAACCAGGGCAGCACCCAGCTACAGCCTTGGAACCACCATGGGACAAGGGGCAAGCTCTGACTACCTCAAACTGCTAAAACAAAAATAATTTTGCAACTTCTCACGGGATTGTAAAAGAAAAAGCATTTCAGGTGAATTCTGAGAACTCCTGGTTTGGTTTTTTATCTGTTTGGGGTTTTTTTTGAGAAGTGAGAGCAGTTCCATACAAGATCACAGGAAGTGGAACTAGGATTGTGCCTGCTCTCTGGGCACAGAAACCTGATCTCTCCTAGAAGTCACCCACCCTGCACAGACAAGAGCTGTACCAACACCCTCCTCAGCAGAACCCCTCATGCCAGAGGACACACTTACTGTTCCAGCCAGGATATCGTGGGGACAGCAATCCAGCAGGTGGCTCTTGCACACACGGTCGTCTGTGAACTTCACCCTTTGTCTGGTTTCATCTCCTGCAATTCATGTGTGGTTTAAATAAGGAGACATTAGAACACCAGGAGAACACAGGCATCAGCATGAACATTTCACTTCTATATGCAGATTAAAATATTTGGTGCTCCTGCTCCCCAAAATTACTCAAAAAAAAAAAAAAAAAAAAGCTTAGAGGGTAACAGGATATTCTGGAACACTTATAATTGGCAACAAACACTACTTTAGCATTTATTCACCCAGGACACCATGTTAAACACAGTGCTGGCGAGCCAAGCAATGTCCAAGGCCTGTCATCCACATAAAGCAGCAGCACAGCCAGAGGAGAAAAGGAGACAGACAGGCTGGCTCCCAGCCAAAACCTGGTTATTTTCTCCACCCTTTCTTTTTCTTACTGTGAAAAAAGGGCAGGAGATACCGAACCCCACACTAGCAGATCACAAAACAGGGCTGTGCTGGGCAAAACTGACAGGCAAGGGCTCTTTGCTCAGGTGATAATTGAGCCATCATCAGTCCGTTTGTTTGGAACCCAGCTATGCAGGGTGTGCTCTCCCAGGCCCTGCAAGGAAGGAGCTGGCAGGTCCTGGCCTGGAACACACCACGTGCTGCCCACCCCCAGCCCACCCTCAGAGGACATTTTACACTCAGGAGCCACTTAAACGAGACAATATCAGAAAAGCAAAAAAATAAATAATAAAAAAAGAACAAAGTTAGTCAATACACACTGCGAGCTCCAACACATACTATACCCATCTGCATTCTTCAAGACCTCAGCTGCAGAATTTTATGCCCATTGTTGAAAAGTTTTAAAGGAAAAGCTTTCTTGCCCACACCTGCAGTAAGGAAGTCAGGGGAATGATACATAAAAGTAAAGGCAAAGTGGTAATGGTATGTGACAATTTTAAAGCTCATCTGTGCATATGACACAGGTATGTGTAATACTAAAGTATGAATATAGTTTAGGATTCACAAGCATCCAGGAATAATGTCGTGTCTACTGAAATTTTTTTAATTTTTTTTTTCTTTCTAAGCTACACTTTTAAAGTTACTTGTGAAAAAAAGCAAACACTTTTTTTTTTGTTATAACAGCTTTAAAAATTGGTTGTGACTCACGGCTCGATGAACATGAGGCTTTTCTGCAACTCCCTTGCAGATTGATGTAGGCAGGCAAAGATACACTGAACCTTTATAAATAAAATAGAGGGGCCACAATTGTTCAGTTTGTATGAAATAAAAATATGGGAAGCAATTCAATAGCAACTCAATACACAGAGAAAGAAAAGCACTTATTCACTTACGAAACAAAGTGCAAAGTGCCTGGACAGCCCTGTTAACGTGCCAAAGGGAATTTAAGTACCCAGCGAGTCGCAGAAGGGAGACACAAACCGCAGCGGGACCGTATTTTGCACGGGCTGTCACATTTCTCGTCCCGGACAGCACCGGGCGCTGCGGGCACACCTACCTACGCGCCTGCGGACGTGGGGCAC